CACTGTGGCAGTGTCCTTTCTGCACCATTCTGACCTCTGTAGGTGAGCTCTAACCAGTGTCCTATAAACTGCTACATTTTATGGTCTCGTGACATTGTCCACATCAGGGCTACAGTGAATTAATTTGGTCATTGACATCCCTTTTAAAAGGCTATATCTTTAAGTGCAGTGCTGCTGCTTGTAGTCCATACCTCTTCCATCTGCTGTAGAGGTTTGTAAGTAGACGTGCAATTGTAAAAAGCAGTATATTGTTTCCAGACTCAAAGGAATGGATGTGTTTAGTAGGGCTGCCTCTGACAGGAGCCTGTTAGCTCTGGGTCTGTCAGTGACATTGAGTCCTGATACCTGCTTTGTGCTTTGGGCTATGAACACAGTCTGCAGACACACTCTCTTCACACCAGCTGAATCAGTCAGTTTTTAAAACAGAGGAGTGAGGAATGGAGAGACAAGAGAGAGGGACAGAGAAAAGACAGAGACTGACGGACAGAGAGTGGGACAGGAGAGAGAGAGACTGACAGAGACTGAGAGAGGAAGAGAGAGACAGGAGAGAGAGACAGACAGACTTAAGGGAGAGAGATAGTGAAAGGGAAGAGGCTGATAGAGGGAGAGACTGGAGAGAGAGAGACAGAGAAGGGACAGAAACTGAGGGAGAGGCTGATAGAGGGAGAGACTGGAGAGAGAGAGAGAGAGACAGAGAAGGGACAGAAACTGAGGGAGAGACAGAGAAGGAGGAAAAAGAGACACAGGGAAGAGACAGAAGGGGAACATTTGTGTATTATTGTTTGGTGCTTGTTACTATTGTTTACTGCACATGTTTGCTTTGGCAACATCGAAGCACAGTGGCCATGCCAATAACTCTCCTTTGAGTCGAAATGTGAGAGGGGGGAGAAGAGAGACAGGCTCTGTTCCTGCTCGCAGTCACGTATCCCGGGATGGTCAGGGGTCTGGCTGTGCTCTCCAGCCTGGACGGCCCAACAGGAAGTTCTGTGATAACAGCAGGGAGCGCTGTTTGTGTTGGGCAAATCTCCCAGTGCACCACAGCTCAGAGAACAGGGCCCAGGAGAGTGAGGGGACTGTCAGAGGGAGTGTGAGAGAGTGATCATGTGTTGACACTGAGAGTGTGGGTGTGGCTCTGAGACTGAGTGTGAGTGTGTGAAAGAGACATAGGGAGACTACTTTTACCCCAACTTGTTCAATGGGTTTTACTGCACTGTATTGTGTGTTTACCTGATTTCACTAGACTTTTCTACACTTTACTGCTCTTTTACCCCATTTCACTGTGCTTTACTGCACTGTATTGTGTTTTTACCTGATTTCACTGGGCTTTACTGCACTGTACTGCACTTTTACCCTGATTTCACTGTGCTTTACAGCACTGTACTGCTCTTTTACCCTGATTTCACTGTGCTTTACAGCACTGTACTGTGCTTTTACTCCAATTTTGTTGTGCTTTACTACACTGTTGTGTGTTTTTACCCTGATTCCACTGTGCTTTACTCCACTATACTGTGCTTTCATGTGGTCTCACTGGGCTTCACTGCAGTGTATGGTGCTTTTATAATGATTTTACTGGGCTTTGCTGCACTGAACTGCACTGCTTTAACTAAGCGCACTGCAGCGAACCAGTACAGGCGGATTCCTTGACAGTGAAGTGAGCTGGTTTCTCGGAGAGGTGTACGTGCAGGGAGCGCAGCAGAGCACAGAGCACACAGTGAACAGGGTGTACCGAGACAGTCACTCATTAACTCCTCAGCCCTGTTTCTCCCTGCCTGGCTCAGCAAACTTTTTCCCAGGAACTGCAGGCCAATTTCCTCAAAACCCTGGGCTCTAACAAAAAGTGATACAGATTGTGTTTCTGTCTCCATGCCATTCCCTGTGTCCCTTTGATGTTGTCTCAATGGCTCCAGGAATCTTTGTGCAGACAGGTCAGATCCTGGATAGCAGTGGGGGAGGGGTGGGATTGTGAAATTGCAAATACAGCAAGGCCCTGCACAAAACCCGTTAACCCCCTCAACTCCGAACCCGCGATTCCCAGATCCCTGAGTTGCAAAAGGTCTATCTGTAAGCCTTGGGAAGACACTGAAACACCTTGTGTATCCCAGATGACACTGGCAGAGCTGCTGCGTGAACAGCCATAACAGTTCATGAGAGTGAGAACCGGAACAGTGGGAGCATCAGGAGAGGAGGCCATCTGTCCATCTGTCCATCCAAGTCTCTGCCTGTCCGTTTAGGTGTCTGTCCATCCAAGTGTACTGTCTGTCCTTTCAACTCTTCTGTCTACTTAGGTTTTAGAGGAGTTTGAGCTGCAGTGCACAATCTTTGTCTGCAATATCCCTGTGCAGACCACAAGAACCAGACAGAATTCCTTTCCTCTTCCTGTGTCAGTCTGCCCATGCAGGCTTCTGGTGCAGCACAGGGCCTCTCACTCTCCTCCCCATTGTGTGTGGAACAGCATGTGTGCAGCAGCTGTAATGCAGCTGGTGTTGCAGAGATGCAGCAGTAATGCAGCTGGTGTTGCAGAGAGGCAGCAGTGACACAGCCGGTGTCACAGAGCTACAGCAGTAACTCACCCAATGTAACAGATCTGCAGCAGTAACGCAACTGACGTCACAGAGCTGCAGCAGTAATGCAGTCGAGTCACAGCACAGCCGCAGTAACACAGCTGGTGTCACAGTTCTACAGTAGCAACCCTGCTGGTTTTGCAGCTCTGCAGCAGTAACTCAGATGGCGTTGAAGAGCTGTAGCAGTATTGCAGCCGATATCATAGAAATGCAGCAGTAACGCAGCCAGCATCACAGAGCTGAAACAGCAATGCAGCCTATGTTACAACGCTGCAGCAATAATGTAGTCGGTGTTGCAGAGCTGTCAGGTGAAAGATTTGCAAGCAGATGCATCCGTGCCATTGGAAAGCCTGAAAGCAAACAGTGATCCATTAAGTTAAGACTTATGTTCCTGTGAACAACCATCGGCCATCAGCCCGGCCGTGACCTTTAGCGCGGCACGGTAGTGTGCAAGGAGGTTAGTTATTCATGGAGAGTAGCTACACTCCCTGCTGGTTATAATAACACACGCATGCACGTCTCCCTTCTCTCTCACTCAGCAAATAACGTGATCCCTTTCCAGGAGAGAGTCTCGTTTCCGAGGAGAGCTCAGAGTAAAGGTGATGTCTCTCTCTCACTCCGTCTGGTTTTGTCTTCACCAAAGCCCCATCCTGTGCTAGGAGGCCAGCACCTGCTGAACAGTTTCACAGTTTGTAGATCTGCCTTAAAATCTAGATCTAAACCTTTCCTTGAACTGTGATGAACACAGTATTTTACTGCACATGGATGTAGACAGCATTTCACCAACTTAATGAATTTAAGAAAGAAGGTGCATGTACTCAGTAGACAGCTTTGGGGTTGTAGCCTTCCTGCACCTTATAGGAGCTCATTACCCATCTGCTGGGCTAGCAGAGGTTCAGGAAAAGGATAGATTGGAGATTGGATTCAGGTTTTTAAAATCCTGGAAGGCATTGACTCAAGTCAGGCCAGACTCGGGGGGGGGGGACCTGGGTTTGTCAGCGGATACAAACGGGAAGTTTGTTAGATGCTTCCCTGACGGAGGAGAATGTGGTGGGAGTGCGCGGCAGGCTTCCCAGCCAAGTGAGTTGAAGATGATACCCTGGCTTCCTTCAAGAACAGGCTGGAAGAGATCCTCTAGTTAGGACAAGACAAGAGTCTTTCAGCAAAGGGTGGTGAGAGTGTGGAACTTGTTGCCCTGCTGTGTTGTTAAAACTGACATTTTGGGGTCTTTCATGAATGTAGCCAGGATGGACTGGTAGTCCTCAGTCCAGGTAAAATGTGTATTTTGATCGTTCAGGTTGTTACCTGGGGGTCTATACATGGGTTCATGTTTCCCCTACCCCTGGCCTTGATGCTGCCTTCAGAGCGAGAGCTGAATTGCACACTCTTTTCTCCAGATCACTGTGAATGCCATTATAGGAGACTATAATATCGATCACCGAATAATCGAAAATCTACTGCGACTGTGTTCTAGCTATAGCTGAACTGCAATGAAAATGGTAAAAAGACCCATGTAGTTCTCGCAGTTCTCCGACATTGACCCCTCCCAATTCTCTGTTTTTCCAGGAGGGTGGGCCGTCAGCCTCAGTGATGCCAGGGGAGATGTGGCAAGTGTCCAGCCTGGCAGAGCTGTTCCGGGTTCACACCAACTTCCTGCGAGGCAAGGTCCGCCTGCTGCTCAGCCAAGCTAAGGCGTGTCAGAAGAATGGAAGCTGATTGGTCAGAGCAGGGGTGGGGCAGGGTTTCAGGAGCGATACCTGATTGGCTGAATTAGGGGTGTGGAGCGGAAAGATGGCAGCTGATTGGGCCAAAACCAAGGAATAGAGGTGTGAAGACATGGCTTTGGCCTAGGACCTATGGAAGAGACCATTAGGAGTGGAAAGAGTTTGTGAGACATGGATTTTTATCTCTTGATTGAGGCTTGGTAACCAGACAGAGAAGAAACTGGAGCACTGATGAACTTACTACAGAAGGGCTGATCCAAACACTGCTGCCCCACGTATCTGTCATGAGACTGTCGGTAGTTCCGTCAGTCTGGGCTAAAGAGGCAAGCTTTAATCCTACAGTGCTTTCTACACACAGCTGTTTCATCTCTTCCACATCTGTGATTCCTGATTTCCTGGGTTTGGGCACGATGCAGTTTTCCCTTTTGCCACCACCTCCAGACTGGATCGACAGACAGGCTCATTCCGCTGGTGGGAAGTGCAGAGCAGCTCGGGGGGAGGGCGGGGAGCGCTTGTGTGGCAGTCGTCATCGTTGGCCCCCCCCACGTCTCTGGCTGAGCCAGTTCACCCTCCACCATCGATCGCGAACGTGAGAAGAGAAAAGACGTCTTTTGCTTCCTCGACTGGGAATCGCCCAGTGTTAACCCACACAGCACACTTCTCTGGCAGCCCATACGCCAGCAGGGGGAGCCGACGAGCGGCGCAAGCAGGCCTCCTTCGTCCCACTCCGCAAGATCCTGCATGGAGTGTGAAGGCAGAGCCGGGCTGGAACCAAAGACATGACGGACAACATTCACTACGCTTAATGACATTAGCAAACATGTTTTTCCTGGATCAGGGGATTTCATGCTACAGTCTGCAGATATCCAGGATGTGGGTGTGGATTCTATATGCTGCACACGCCTGAGCCAGGCTCCTCCTCCTTCCCCCTCCTTCTCCGGCTCGTCCACGGCCCAATCCCTCCGCAGGTGTGTTCGGAGGAGCCTCTGCAGGACAGATCCTACCCGAGCGCGGGATTCCTCAGAGGAGGGTGGTTTTATCAATCGAACTGGTGGGCAGGTGGGCGAGCTGCGCTCGAGGAGTCAAAGCAGGGTCTCGGCCCCCCTTTCTCTCAATGTTATCCGCCCAGCATGCCACTCCTACAGCTAAAGCATGTTCCTGTCGGACATGGCCTTCCCAGTCTGGCGCTGGGAGAGGGAGAGCAGTGTGGAGATTCACAGCCAGGCCCCAGGGATCCCCTGGAGAGACAGAGGCGAACCTGAGGCTGGGACACTCGGGGCACACGCTCCGAATGACCAATCCCGCCAGGACAAACGCTCCTCCCCATCGCCTAGCTTCCTTCCTGTCCCTCTCCCGGCCATGAGAAACCACGGTCATCGGAATTCTGGAGTTTGCGTGTTCCTGTCCATGTTCTGTTTTTATTATCCCTTTCCGGATGCGTTGCGGGTCTTAAGTTATGTTGTACAGATTCTCTGATACAGGTTCTTTGTTTTTTCACAGAGCTATTTGCTATTTAAATAAAAAATATTATTCTTAGATAAAACGGAAAAAACCCAAAATGCCAGGTGTCGATAGCATTCTTCTGCATTCCTGGGGCATGACGGCGTTTCCTTGTCTTGCTGGTGACTTCTGTCCTCATGGGAACGGCGGGACCCAGAGTCCTTCCAGATATCCGCCAGGGTATTCCTGCAGGAATCCCGGTGGCAGCCCCCGGAGAAACATGTGGGAAAGGAAGAAAGAATTCCTGGAAGCTTCCATCACTATCAGATCTAACGATAACAGGAGTGAAGCTACAGATGAGCTGGACTGAGTGTCTTTACAGTCTCTACAGATCTGATGGTGATGAGTGTGAATGTGAAGATACAGATGAGCTGGACTGAGTGTCTTTACAGTCTCTACAGACCTGATGGTGATGAGTGTGAATGTGAAGATACAGATGAGCTGTTGTCTTTACCCGTGTACTGCAGTAAGCTCAGCTGCAGGTGTGAGCATACTGGACACTAACCGCACTGTGTGAAACTCCATTCTCGCACGAAACGAAATACCAAGCACCTAATATGCTCTTGACACTCCTACAAGGGAATTATGGGTACTGAACTGACCCAGTAAGTATATTCTAGTTTTGCATTTTTATGGCACTGAAAAGCAGTTCAGACCAGCTT